GATCAATGGCAACTAAAACCAGTTCTTGTTCCTCTTCTCTGGGTCTCTTCTCTTCTCCTTTGACTATTGGTAATGTTCATTAACTATTTATGTATCATTGACTATACTTTTAGATCAACTTATTGATGTACTTAATCTGTTGAAGAGATGTGGTTTCCCTCAGAGGAGATGGAAGGAACTAGGACTGACACTAGGACTACTCATGGACTCACTGGACGCTATTGAAAGGAATCATCCTGGTTATGTATCTGCATGCTTGACAGAGTGTCTCTCCAAGTGGTTGTCCAGAGCTGATAATGTTGACAGTAAAGGAGGAGCTACCTTTGACTCACTGTCAGATGCTCTTAAATCTATGAATGAGAATGCTGCAGCTGACAAGTTAGATCAAGAGAGTAAGTTAATATCACTGATTGTATTAGTATTGACTGTGTGTGTGTATTCTATAGAACGTAATGCTATGATCAGTGGTAATGATATCAAAGGAACCAATGATGTACACAGTACTGCTACTGGTGAGTGTTACATTACTAGACTCAAGATGTACAAAATTAGTATTTTCAGAGATTGGTGGAGGAGTGTTTAATTTGTAATGTAAAATATTTAATTTATTAAATTTTGTGTAAAGTTGGTGTGTAGTATGATAACTATGAAATGCTTCAATTGAGATAATTGCTACAGTTATTTTAATTCTCTATCCTCCTACAGGTACAAACAAGCCATTGATAGGAGGTCCTCCACTCTCTATTATCGCATTAATGGGTATACCAGATGATAGACCAAAAGTATCTGAATTGATAGAGTTTCATGAATTATTGATCAAAGGACAACTGGAGGAGTCTCTACCACTGCTTGATGCTGATACTATAAGAAAGATTAGAAATGCTATTAATGATCATGAAGGAATGTCTCTTCTTATAAGAGCATTTGAAGAACATCCAACACTGCTACATGAAATGAGAGTAGCCACTGGAAAAATAAAAGGTATACTGAAATATTCATTACAAAATGTATTAAAATTAGCTAAAGTAATCAGCAAGCACTAACTTAATTACAGCCAGTGTGTATTAATATTAATAGCAATTACTATTAATAGGTTCATCACAGAAGACACTAAAGTCTTCTCCCCCAGTAGCACCTAAACCAAGATCATTATCACAAAGTGGACAATCTCAACCAGTGTCAACAGCAAAAAAACAGCGACCACTTTCACAAACCACACAACCTCCACCAACAGCACCTAAACCACACCGACCATCAATAACTAAAAAACCTCCACCAACAGCACCTAAGCCAAGTCAATCTCAAGATTCATCATCAGCTCCACATGATCCAACAGCAACAGTACTGCTAGATGAAGAGGGGAAGAAAGAACCATCATCATTCAAACCAATGGAAGGATCAATGTCACCAGAATACATTACAATGAAAGAGATGTTAGCTGATCTTGTTGATCTGTTGGCAGGAAATGCTCCAGTTATTTCGCGATTAAATAATCATCTCTTTTCTCTTGCTGTCATACCTCAAGATGTACACAATGCTGTTGCTAATCCTTATCCTACTCCAAATGAAAGAGCTACTCGACTCATCAATTCATTATTAACTATCATACAAGCTCATTCTGATCCTAACAGTGTGTTTTCTTTTCTCATTATGTCACTACAGAAAGTAGGACTAAATAACATGGCATCGAAACTAATGGAAAAACTAAGTAAGATACAATAATTATTTATACCCCATTTTTCATTTATTTAAATAATAGAAATGAAATGTGGTCATGTTGATCCTAATCTAGAGCAGCAACCATCAGTCAGTGAGGGACTACTTCAACCAGTGGATGTCACTGCACAATCTCACACGCCACAACCAACAATCGCTGGATCACAATCATCTACTCCTACTGTCATTGAGCTCAGTTCAAAGAGTGAAGTTGCTGCCAATATGAAAAGTCTTCATTCTCGTTTTGCGTCTCTCAATGCTAAAATGAGAGGTGAAATTGTGAAAATTGTGCAAAAAGGTGAAGTTGAGTTTATAGATATAGCTAGGAGTGCAGCAGCTTATTTAAGCATTGAAGTATCCAGTTTAAAGTATGGCAATGTTGACGAATTATTTGATTCTCTTAAGCCTCATTATGATTTCTTTAACTGTGATGGTGTACTTAAACACTTGACAGACACTTACCTTTCAAATACACAAACTGAACTAACTGAATACATTGATAGTGTTGATGAATTTTCAGAATCATCACAATTGAAGCACATACGATCAGTTATTGATAAAGAAGCTCCATTTTTAGATTCGCCAACTACTAAACCAATCGTTATCAAACTAAATGGACGATGGGACGAAATGACAATCAAGAACTTTAAAAGCGTTCTTCAGTATTATTTTGAGCCAGAAATCAAAAATCTTTTTAGTCACATTTCCATCAAGAAAGGCTCGGTTGTCATTACACTGTTAATACCAACCTCACTATCACAGTCTCTTATTGATGCTATCAATAACAAAACAAACTCAATGAGTAGATTAGGAATGTTGGAAGTTGCTGTTGGCAATAAAGTGATTCCTATCAAAAGAAAAGACGATAACAATTTTGACGTTTCGCTCCATGAATCAGTTAAAGCTGGTGATAGTTTTGAAGTATCAATGCTACTGCAGTTAGGAGCTGATCCTAACAGTAAAGATGAGAGAGGAAAGAGTGCAGTAGAGATAGCTAAGGAAGGAGGACACACTCAAATAAAGGAAATACTATTAACTGGTGGAGGTGAGTTATTTGATACTAATATTAATACACACATATAATATACCATTAATACACTAAACCCACTCTCTATAGTGCACACCTCCTAATTACATTCCTTACTATATAAAATATCCTCCACATAAAGGACACCTCTGCATAACAGAGACTTTCACATCCCATTGTATAGAAGTACCAGTGATTAAGTTTGACAATAAAACTTTATAAAAACAATTCACAAAAACACAATAAAAATTACCAAAAATCATAGTCAGTATAATTGTAAGTTATCATATAGAATCTTCTACTCTAAAAAAGAGAAAGAATGAAAAGAGAGAAGCATCATTTAAATGCAAAAAATCAAAACAGATAATTACCAGATACCTATATATGGTTATA